TATGTAACTAGCCATCCATCTATGTATCCATCCCTCCATCTGTCTATCCATTCATCTATGTTTCTACATATCTATGTATCCATCCATCCATGTATCTATCTCTGTCCATCCATCTCTCTCTAAGTGGCTCTCCCTAATTCACCCAAGGCAGGAGCTCTGGCCTGCTCCATTTCTGTGATCTGGATCAATTTACCCCTCCTTTGACAGCCTGGGTCCCCTGCCTGGGGGGCTCCCTCTCTTGAGGGCCAGACTACATGCAGACACCACTGCAGCTCTGAACCCTGAGCTCAAGAGGGCTGCCCAGGGATTCGTAGCGTGACCCCTCCCCCAGCAAGGCAGACTTCCCAAGCATCTGGAGGCAGCCTTTCTCCTCACTGCCTCTGGCAACAGTGCCTTTCATCCGTCATTCCTTTCAGGGGCACAGAATAAGAAGGGTTTTGAGGAATGAAGGGGAAGAAACCTCGGCAAAGAACAGGGGAGGGGAGGGTCCCTTTCATCTTTCTTCACCTTCTTTGCAGACGGGGCAAAATCCGGGCTTTGCGTTTACCTGCATCCTTGTTTTCACCACATCGACCGGGTTGTTGCCAAAGACGCTAGTGGCTCCTGCAGCTATCCCGAAGGTGGAGGTAATGAAAGGGTTTATCTTTTTCTTTGGATTGTCCCCTGATGGAGAAACTCAGGCTCTGTGTTAGACTGCTGGAGACACTGGGCAGCCAGGCTGCTACCCTTGTCACCTTGGCCCGAACCAAAGGCGCCTTCTCTCCCCCAGCAGAAGGTCAGCTCCCTGCAGGGAGGCAGATCCTCTCCCTGGGCTTCCTGCTTTTCTAGTCATGGAGTCTGCCCAGAGCGGGGCCTCTCCTCTCTGGCCCTGGGGGGAATGCCAGCTGACTTTCTTATCTCAGCCAAGGCCGAGATTGGTGGCCGAGGGAGCTGCTGAGCCCTCCTGAGGTGTGTCAGTCTGATTTCAGAGACCAGGGCTCCTGGAGTGCTCGCAACAGAGAGAAAAATGGTCTGAGCCATGGAGGGGCCCAAGGCCAGGAGCTGGGTACTGGAAGGGCTCCTTTGAGACTGCCCTCCCTCGTGTGGAAGTCTAGGGAGGCCTTCAGATGCCCCTTCTCAGAATCAGGGTATTGTATGGAGGAAATGAAATATGCATTTAGGGTTACAAAGGAAACCAGTTATGTGAAAATACTGTTATTCAAATGTTTTTCCTATGTAAGTTCTCAGAGCCCCTGAAATACATCCCTGACCCCTTCTGGGGGGGGGTACCTGAGGACTTCAGATTGGGAGCCTACAGAGCTTAGTATCCAGTGGACTTGAGAAGTCCTGGACAATGGAGGTGGGAGTGGTCAAAGACAGAGGAGCTACAAGAAGGTTGGGGGGCCCTGAAGTGGGCAGAAGGGGAAGAAGGGGAGCTAGCCAGAAAATGCAGCTCTTTGTAGGAAGGAGAGGAGGGAGGGCTAGCCCTGACCTTCTGCCCTGCAGGGCAGAGCTGAGGAGCAGGGTGGGGAAGATGGGGGAGAGTGGCAGAGGATCCTTCAGGAATCAGGACAGAGGTGTCAGGTAGCAGTGGGGGCCTCACCACACTTGAAGGCCGGCAGAGACAGGTGGCAGATGACAGAAAGAGGTCTAGGGTTGGGGCTGGGGAGGATGTGGGGCCATTGATTTCATCTGCCACAACATCAGTATCCTTGGCAATCCCTGCCCTGAGAAAGGTGAGGTGGCAGGTCCTCCGCCAGGCTGTGAACCTTGGCGCGAGCTGTGTGCCCCCAGGGCCAGGACACACTCATTACCTTGGTACCAGTTGCGGAAGGAGGTCATTGTGTAGAAGCCGATGGCCTGGTTAAATGCTTGCTTGATGACAGTGGCTGTAAGGCCCCGGGCAGATCCCCATCTAGCCTACGAGGGGCCACCGCTGCTCGTCACCGCTCTTCACCCCCTCTTTTCCCACCTTTACTGTGATGTTCCCCAAGACAAATGGCTCCCAAGATGCTGCCCCAGGCAGGGATGGGCTGCCTCAGGCCCTTCCGACCCCCAGACCAGGGGCCCAGGGAGAACCAAGGGGGGAATGCCATGGTCAGGGTCGCCCCACTTCAGCAGGGGCTCCCAAAGTACCTTCTTCCCGCACAATCCCACGAATTCCACGTATGAATCCTTGGTATCTGACGTTTCTGGATGTCTGATCATGAATAAATTTCACCTGTAAATCACACCAGGGAAGCTGGTCTTCCCTTGACTGGCCTTGAGCTGGCCAGCGGCCCTGTGCCTCCTCCCTCCAGCACCAAGGTCCAAGGGGGCAGCTCTGTCCTGGATGCCTGCTTATTTGGCAAAGGATACACTCTCCTTCCTGAGATGTTTTTGTTTGAGGGTCAAATCTAAACTTTCCAGGCTGAGTGTGATATTCCCTGCTGAGCTGAAGGATGTCAGGCCGGTGCTGGGTAGGGGGTGGTTCTAGCATCCCTCGCCTGACACAGGCCTTTGCACAGGGGTTTTCTCTCAAATGGGAGGGATGTGCCTTGCCACCTCTGCAAGTGACCAAAGACAAAGTCCTCTCTCCAGAGGCTGCTAGCAACCTGGGAGGGGAGAGGAGGAGAATGAGCAGGGACAGAAGCATGCTGGCTGAGAAAATGACCTAGATGGGAGCCAGAGGAGAAAGGGAAAAAGGAGAGAGAGAGAAGGGGGAGGAGGGAGAGAGGGAGACAAGGGCAGGAGAAGGAGTGAATGACAAGGGGAAGGGGGGAGAGAGAGACAAGGGGGAGGGGGCAGAGAGGGAGGGGGAGAGGGAGTGAATGACAGGGGGAAGAGGGGGGAGAGAGGGAGGGGGGAGGGGGGAGACAAGGGGGGCAGGGAGTGAATGACAGGGAGAAGAGGGGGGAGACGGGGGGACACAAGGGGGAGGGGGGAGAGAGAGTGAATGACAGGGGGAAGGGGGGAGAGGAGGGAAAGTGTGGACTCTGATGGTACTGACAAGGGCAGAAGCCCCCAGACAAGTCATTCCCTGCTTTTCATTGCGAGGCTTTCCCCTTGGGCTCATGGACAGACATCAAGTGGACTCCCTCAGAATCAGGGTTCTGCCTGGGTGGCCGGCCCACCTCCCTATGGCATTGTGGGGGCCCTGTGATTTTTAACAATTTTATTATTTTTCACCTTCAGAGTTCCCAATTCTCTCCCTCCCTCCTGTCCCTCCCCAGCCACCAGCAGCACCCGTTTTCCTCTTGGCCTCTGTAAGTAATCACATAATCACGAAGGCTCTAAAGAAGGCTAGGCCTTGGGTCCCCTCCTGCTGCCCACGCTCCTCCTCTTCAATCCTGGGCCCCAGGCTCTGTCCAGCTGTAACACCTGCCCAAGACCAGTGTCCCTGCCTGCTGAGCTCCTGAAGTCAGCCCCTGGGGGGTTGGTCCCCACTCTGGGGCCACACTCAACTCCCATTTGTGCCCATTTCAAGGACACATCCATCGAGGCCTTCCCACCCGGATTGGCCGCACTGACCTTTATGGTTTTCAGAGGGCAGACGATTACAATGGCCTCGGTGGTACCAGCTCCAAGGCCACAGAGGGAGCTCTTGGCATTGCTCAGTCTGCTATCGGCATCTCTGACATAGCTGCTCAGGAACTCAAACGTGCCAAACCTGCAGAGAGTTCTGAGCCATCAGCGGGCTTCCTTGTGACCGTCTCCTGGTACGTGGATGACCGAATGAAAGGCTGGCTCCGGGCCCAGCAGGCCACGGAAGGGGGGCAGGCAAGGTCTGCTCTTTGTCTCCTTCCCATCGACAAGATCTTGCCAGCCTAACGATGTTGAGGATTGGGGGATGACCTCAGCTGTGACAGTTGTCCCCATTGGCCTGGACTGCCTCGGTAGGAGGAGGTGACTGCAGGCCTCTCGCACAGCTCTGGCTGGGGCATATGGCAAGGCTGAGATGTCTGCCGGCACCAATATCACTCTAGAATTCTGGGACTGACTTTTGACTGAATCCGAGCCAGAGCCAACACAGAGCTTGGGAGAAAAGCTTACCTAGCCCTCAGCCTTCAGCAGAAATCCATCTCTTGGGCCTCTGGCCCGGAATAAGGGCCAGTGTGCCCTGGGATCCCCCCATACTGGACTGGGAAAGCACTTGCAGGCTGCCCGGGGCTTTTCACACCCCATCTCACATTATCCTTCCAACAATCGGGGAGGGGGCGCTTTATCTCCATTTTACAGCTGAAGACACCAGGGCTGAGCGAGTGTAGATGGCCATCCAGTAAAGAGACTGAGGCACGATTCCTGACTCCAAATCCAGTGCCCCCAGCTGTCTCACAGCTGCCTGAACCACTTCACAAGGCAATGTCCATCTGAGGACAGGGACTGACCCTTCAGCTGCCCCGTTGGACCCCTGGACACTCACCTCACTGCTGATTTGGGGATGGAGCCATAGAACAGGGAGCTGAGGCCCCGGCAGAGACCCAGGAAGCCGTGCTCCTGAATGGTCAGCTTCACGAATGAGCTGTGAGACAACAGGAGGAATGGAGTGTTACCAAGGTGGGGTACGCTGCCAGGGGGGTTCACCACGGGGAGGGCAGGATGCCCAGGGGTTGGAGGGGTCACCATGGGGGAGGGCAGGCTGCTCAGGGGTTGGGGGGGTCACCACGAGGAGGGCAGGCTGCCCAGGGGTTGTGGCCAAGGGAGGGGTGGGCTACAGAGACTTTCTCACCAATACTGCTGTACTGGGGATGCTTGGTCCTCCCATCCAGCTGCAGCTGAGTTTTGATGTACTCTGTGGGAAAGCTGATACAGACTTCGATGCCTCCGGCAATGCCGCCTGCAAGAGAGAGGGATGGAGGGATGGGTATAGAGAGATGAGGGAAGGGGGAGGAGAAAGAAAAGAAAAGAGGAGGGGAGGGAGTGAGGGGGAGGGAGGGAGGGAGGGAGGGAGAGAGAGAGAGAGAGAGAGAGAAGGAGAGAGAAAAGGAGGGAGAGAGAAAAGGGGAGAGAGGGAGGGAGAGAGAAAAGGAGGAAGAGAGAAAAAATGCTATGAGTTTTTGGAAAGCAATTTGGAATTATGCAAATAAAGTGACTAAATGTTGCTTTGACCTAGAGACTCCATTACTGGGCCTATATCCCAAAGAGGTCCCTGATAGACACCAGAATATATCTGCAAGCACTTTTTTTTCATGGTAACAAAGAACTGGAAAAAGTAGGCACCACTGAGTGGGGGACTCCCGCTGTGCCATGAAGATGGGCTTAGAAGGAGAAAGATCCCTCACCATGGTGGACAGCAGGGAAATGCGGGACAACCAGATACCTCACTCAGTCATAGCCATAGTCACACAGCCACAGACACATACTCACAGAGATACATACAGACACTCACACAGGTACATACACAGAACATACCCAGACATACACACCCGAAAACACACACAGACACACCCTCACACAGGTACACGCTAGCCAAAGATATAGT